ATGCTGTACAAAGATACTGATTCTCACCTGCATGTTTTCTCCCTTTCAGAGATCTCAAGCTCGACAACCTGCTGCTAGACACAGATGGTTATGTGAAGATCGCTGACTTTGGACTCTGCAAAGAAGGTGGATCTGTGTATTACTGACAGACGGTCTTTTATTTGTTTTTGTCTTTGCTTCGGGATACAAATTTACTTACAACCGGAAAACAGCGTGATGTTTTTATTCTGTCAGGGAGCCTGAAAAGCAGGTCAACCGAACCCTGCCTTGAGCTCAGATAAACCATAGGTGACCTATTAGCTTCTCCATATTATCCAACATCTGTTTGCATGGTTACAATGAAGGGTGCCCATATTAAACATGGCCTCAATATCAAATAATAAGGTCAGCATATGAAAAAGCTGCTGTTGCCCAAGCCTTTGTTACAAGGGGTCACCACAGCAGGTATCTCCACATCCCCAATCACGAGAAAGTTGAGGCTGAGGCAGAGGATAGGCTGATGGGCTGCAAAAAAAAGCCTCTGTGTAAGATAAATAACCCTCATTTTGAACTGTGAATCATGGAAAATGTCTCCAGTAAAGCAGTTGGAAATTGGCGTAATAGCTCCACTCGATTCTGAAATTTAAACAGATGTCGGAATATGAGTGATTAAACAGTACAGAGTGGCAGGTTTTCATAATCTGAAGTTCAGGTAAATTAAGAAGTGATTTTGTTTCTCTTTTAGCTTTCAGAGATCATTTTTTCGTTTTTTTTTTCTGCAGGAATGGGTTTTGGGGACCGGACCAGCACCTTCTGTGGGACTCCGGAGTTTTTAGCCCCCGAGGTCCTGACAGACACGTCTTACACCAGAGCTGTAGACTGGTGGGGCCTGGGGGTCCTCATCTATGAAATGCTGGTGGGAGAGGTAAGAGCTAGCCCTCTGTCACTGGTCATGGAGTTATTATAGCCACGTGTTAGTTTGATCTGGTGCCGATTAATTACTCGCGTTCGCTGTAGTTAAATGCTGATTTTGTTTTAAATGACAGAATATCAAAAGTGGATTCAGTGAACTGTGCTTTTGTGTGACCGGTGTATTTTTTTGTAGTCTCCTTTCCCAGGGGATGATGAAGAGGAGGTGTTTGACAGCATTGTGAATGATGAAGTCCGCTACCCACGCTTCCTCTCCACTGAGGCTATTGGCATCATGAGGAGGGTAAAGCAAAAACACACACACACACACACACATTCGCTCGCTCATGCACACAAACTGTATGTGACAAATGCTGCACTTACACGTGAAACACTGAATCAGTCCGACACCCTCACTTACTCACAGTCAGACAGTTGATGCTTCACTGTTATAGCCACTCGTCATTTCGTATTCTCGTGTGTCTGTGTGCAGCTGTTAAGGAGGAACCCAGAGAGAAGGTTGGGATCTGGTGAGAAGGATGCAGAGGAGGTGAAGAAGCAGCCATTTTTCAGAGTAAGTAGACTTAAAGGTACCTAGGCAACTTGTTGGGGGTGAGAACGCAAGATGGAGATTCGTTAGCAAACACTGAGAGGTGGAAGAGGTTTTTCTCGTGTGTTTACAGCCAGACTGTTATGGTGGTTGTTTCGAAGCCTTTTGAATTGCAGCTTTAATTGCTCTTCTTACTCTTATTCTTGTCCGTCTCTCCCTCCAGAGCATGGACTGGGAGGCGCTGCTGCAGAAGAAGTTGCCCCCTCCCTTCGTCCCGTCCATCGGCGGCAAAGAAGACGTCAGTAACTTTGACGAGGAGTTCACCACCGAACCTCCGACGCTCACGCCTCCACGTGAGCCCCGTGCGCTCTCCCGCAAAGACCAGGACAGTTTCCGGGACTTTGACTACGTCTCTGACCTCTGCTAGTGGACCCGAAGCCAACAGATCTCGAGGAACGTTGGATTTCGACGACTTCGCAACAGTTTCAGCCAGAGCACAGAGATATGTCTCAAGCTGACTGTCCGCGCTCGTCTGTCGCTTCTTGTTACACTGTGAATGAATGAAACTGAAGACGAAGAGACTGTGTTTTGTGTGTCTGCAGAGTTTTAAAGATCATGGACCGAGCAAATGAAAGCCTGGACAGAAATTAGTTGGGGTTATAATGTTTTATCACAAACAAAGGCCCCCCTTTCCAGTCATTGTACGAAACTGCAGTGGGTTTTGTATCTTGCAGACTTTTAAAAGTCTCTTCCCGTCGTCTTAGACGTCTCGGCAGTCGCCAGTGCAGCTGTGAGAGGAGGAGCTTGCTGTATTTTTGTACTTTTGACTGTTTAGGGGTTGCTCAGTGGCCTCTCATACCAATGCCTTACATTTATACTTGTATTTGTTCCACAGAAAAAAAGCATTTTGTTTGACTTTGTGGCCCTTTGTGTACAGCAGCAGGGCGAGGAGGGATACAGTGTGCTGCAGAAACTCCTCTATGTTTTTGGAAGAGAAAAAAAAGACACTCAGAGCTGATACCCATCAGTCTTTTGACTGCTTTTAGGTGTATTATTAGTTAACTAATGGGTAAAGAACCACTGTCCTGCTTCGCTGCAGTGGACCTTCCTTTGGATGTCCACCAACTACTTTTTAAACTTGGGTTGCTCGGATTTTACAAGAGCAGTTGACTCGTCCTTTTTAGTTGAATGTTTGGGTTTTAGGAAGAATTTGATATAAATGTGTAGCACACACACACACACATAACCGTCAGCATAAAAGCTTTGAGGAAAACATTTATTATTCCAAAAGCAAAAATCTGAACACTAAACTGTGATGTACAAGTAATAAACTGCTCTTTATGGGTTTGGAGACACGTTCATCCAGTCACCTGAGTGCTACCAGAGTTTTGTGAACATGAAGTAAGTGATTTCCCTCCGAGGCGATTAAATCTTTAACCTCACTGGCTGTAAAAGTTGTTTTAGTGTCTGTTTTCGGCGCTTAAGCCCTGACAGGTTACGCTCTGGCTGCTGCGGTCGCTGTGGCGGTTTCCGAAACTTGTTGATGTCTAAGTACTTGTGGAAACTCTGCGGGGCGCCATAAGCAAAACAAACATGAGCTGCTTTTCCACAGTAGAGCCAATTAGAGAGGCGAGAGCTGGCGTAGACCTCTGGTAATACCTTTGATGATATCTGTAGGAAAACCATGAGCCAACAGTGAAAACCTGTGTAACACACAAGAGCAGTGGTTTGTTGTTAAGATGTATGTGCGGTGGTGTGGATTTTACCTGTCTTGTGTACAACAGTACAGAACCATGTGAGTATGAGATGACATATTTTATAAAGAAAACCGTGAGTGAATGTGTGTTTATTCTCAACATGGGATGGGGGAAAGGGGCATCTCAAATTCATTTAAATAAAAATAACACAGTAATGTATAGATGGATGCACATTTAATTTAGTATTTGTGAATGAATGGAGCAGGATGCAGATGGCTACTCACCTGCTGCAGTGATTGAATAAATACTCACCGGCCACTTTATTAGATACGCCTGTTTTACTGCTCATTAACTCAAACATCTAATCAGCCAATCACATGGCAGCAACTACGTGCACTTATGCACCTCTAGACCTTAATGGTCGACCTTTCGTGGAAACACGAGTGCCTGGATCCGCAATGATAAGTGCTGATCTGCATCTTATCCTCATGTACTCTCAGCACCATGTAAACAGTAAATTCCAGTAATAATAAATAAATCATTTCAAATTATCTCAGTAAATGTCCACTACCTGCAGGGAAATTTACCAGATAGAGTTACTTTAACATGTGTGCAACCTTATTGTGTTGCCTTTCCTGGACTGCGCCGTGCACATTGAACAGAACGGCAAACTCAACATCGAAGTTTACCGGAAGCCCACACACACGGACCAGTACCTCCTCTTTGA